TTCAGTTTCATCAGAATTTAAAAGTCCTTGTCACATCCACCAGAACACCCAGTACTTCAGAAGCCAAGCACTGCACTTGGAAAAATACTAAAGGAGAAATTATGGTCCATACTGAGTTGTTTGTTTGTTTTAATCTATGTGAGAAAAGTTATTAAGATAGCTCAATTTTCACAGAATCACATTATATCTCCACCTACATCTACAAATTCTTAACTAATTCAGGAACCCTTTTCATAAGTAACTTTCAATAAACCTTATAAGTTATATTAGAGGTTTCTGATTGCTTTGAGCATTTTACCTCAGAACCTAGAATTAGTTCAGGCAAAGCAGCACAAGTACCTTTACTGGTAAGGAATGAGGTAGATGAACCACACTAAAACTGAGCTGTTATAACTAATCTGCTCCCAGCACCCAGCACCAATGCGGCACTGATCTAGCAGCCAACCTCACAGAAAACTTTACAGTTTTCAGCATAGACACAACCTTATCCCTTTGAAATTCTGAATAGAAGGAATTTTGCACAATAGACAATACTTATGTAGTCTATGAGAAAAATGTGAAGTAGACAGAAGTACCAATTTCAATATCAAGAAGAAACTGATTTTACTAAGAAGCCTACCAGTTTTATTTATGATGTTAAAAAGGAAGGTCCTTCCTAGTTTTATGTTCCTTCCTCCCTGGCCTTGTAAATATAGCACTTTGCTAACTCTGACAAGATTCCAGAATTTGCACATTTCTGACAGAATTTAATCCTATTATCTGCTGCATTGCTCAAGAACTAAGATGATAAAACCCTGTCTCTCAGAATGGTTAAATTCCAATAAAATCCTTTCAACTGTTAAATAGCTTTTCAAATTCAGGTATCTACAAACCCCTTGCTAAAGAGATTAGCAATAGCTATTCAAAATTTATCTCTAGATAACAATTTATACTAAAACATGTGTTGCTGTGAGAAATATTATTCTATGAGATTTAAAATCTCCCTTAGTAACAGCCCTGATTTATACACATTCATATTTACAAGGCTGTCATCCACTTTCTCCTGATAGTTCAAATACAGTCAAGTAAGGGTAGTTCCATCAGTAAAATTTAACATTAGTAAAACTAGGAAGAAAACCTGACTAGCTGTTTTGGTGTAAGATGAAATTTGTGTAGGGCTAGAGCAAATTCATGTAAAATTCACTAAACTGTGTCATCAAAAAACGATGAAATGTAAACAGAAAAATAACATTTTAGTAAAGCACAAACCCACCTTTCACGTTCATATTTTTGCTAATACTGTTGCTAACATGGTCAACATTTGACCTTTTTTTGAGGGATACACCCTCAGCATAAAGCATCACTTTCAATTCAATTCATGGAGAAGGGATCACTTTTTAAATCTAACAAAAAATGTAATTTATTGTTTTTTAATTGGCTAACAGAACAAAGTATCAATTGTTCACCAACTCATAATATGACAACCAGGTTAGAAAGGAAAATTCTGCTAGGACCAGGACTCTGACTCTGGGCTTATGGTATGGACAAAGAAAAAGAAAAAAAAAAAAAAGTACTTCTGCTTATCACTCTTCTAGGTACAACTGCTGCTGAAAAAGCTGCAGATTATGTTTCAGAATTGGAAAAATCATTTAATCATGGTATTTGAGCAACATCCATACACCATTTAAGTTCACAGAGGTAAATCTGCTTCAAGACCTTTTTCAAAAGATGCCATCACAATATTATTCTGAGAAAATAAGACCGTAAAGAATAAATACTTCTGCATTTACAGTTAGACAGCTCTTGTCAAATCCACTAGTCAGTAAAATGAAAAAATAAATATCCCCCAAATTTTAATTTTTAATTCATTCAACTACTTGTTGAAGTTTTCTGTGAGTTGTGCATTGTTTAATGAGATTTAACAAAATGATGTAACCACGGGTTACATTATTCTGTACCTTGAAATGTACCTAGAGGCTGTGCAACATTAGGTCAGTCCATTAGACTTCACTGCCCTAACGTACTTCCCAAGGAACTGAAAGCTTTTGCAGATGCTGGACAGGTGCTTTCATTGAAGTTAGTACCTGAATATGCTTATAACGTGTGCAGAGGCATTCCTTTCTCTACAGTTCTCTAGATTATTATACTTAGCAGCCACAACTGCAATATCCTTTGCTTTCTCTTAACAATTCTAGTCAATTAGACAAATTCAAACACACTGTAGTGGGTCATAATGAATTCGATTGGTCATTGGTAGAGTAACAAACTTTTCTTTTAGACCATTTTTCAAATTTATTTCTCCATATTAACATCATGTTCACTACTGATTTCATGTTTGAGCATTTTGACAATAAACTGTGCATTCTGCCCTGCTGCTTCTTTTTTTTTTTTAATTGAGTTTTCTTGTGGTGTTTTGACAATTTCCCATCAAGTAAATGCAACTACCTTTAGAGGTGGAAGCTCTTCACAATAGTGTTTACCAACATGCAGAATATAATTTATTTCCCATAACTTATTACATAATGCTTCAGCTCAGTTCTGATAAAGTAGGTACAGTGAAACCAATGCAAAGTCAGGAACCTACAACCGTATTTAGTTAGATCTGGGACTCAAAGGCTGGGATGTTAGAAGCAACTAAGAACAGTAACTCCAAAATAAACATCTATAAAAGAAGTGACTTTGTGCATTTCAAAGTCATGGGAAAAATTCTTACCAGCTTCACTGTTTGTTAGATTAGGTCTTTATTTAGGCCCAGGATCTGCCTTTATTCCTTTTGCTCTATTCCTTCGCTCTACTTCACCTGCACAGACTGACACATGCTACCTCTTAGTGCTTCACAAAACAGCATGCAGAACAGAATGACTTGAAAAGCCAAACAAGAAGTTTGAAAAGTAAAACTTCCCAACAGTTATAAGGCTCAAAAAACAGCCATATTTCCAGAGTCCTCAGGAATACAAAAATTAAAAATCTTAGTCTAAAGCAAGATCTGACTACAAAATATGGAATGTTACAAGATCAGGTAGAATCCCAAAAGTGCTGAGTATATTGCATTGGGAAGCTATAATTCAGAAGATTTTTATCATTTCCTTTAACCTCAAGAAACTAAAACCAAAACCAAACCACCACCATGCAAAACAAAAACAATCACCAAAACACCCAAAACACTTTACTAACCTTTAAAATAAAAGGAAGACAATATTTTGGGCATTTTATAAAGAGAACACTTTCCAGAGTGTTTCAGAAGAGTTACAAACTACAATTATATGATAATTGTCAACTTTTTAATATAGTTAAAAAATGTATATATTAACTGGCACAAGCAAATGTCTATTTACATACATATATCATATGCTACTTAGTATTGTTCATATAACGCATATGAACAAAATTATAGATATAAGCAACTCTTTCAGGACTAGAAACTAGTATTATAGGTTAGCAACTGTTAGATTTGCCTTCCAAATTCTAAATGCTAAAGACCAGTCTAATCAAATTGAAACATCTCTACAGAGCCCCAGGATTTAGTTACACAAGTTAAGCAACCATTGCAGCAATGTGCTTGCTTGAAGCAAATGTCTTTCTCATCCCAGCTTACCATGCCTTGGTTTGCTTCACAGAGAGATCTTCAAAGTCCTTGACTAGCTAAAGCTAAAGTCAAGTCTTTAATTTGACATAAACCAAGCCTTCAAAAGGCAAGATCCTGCCAAGGGGCAGCTATCCAGCTTGGCTGGCACAGCAAGGCAGGTCACGTTTCCCAGATGCAGAGACCAGCCTGTCAGAATGAGAGTCCCTTCCACCTCTGTCAATAACCAGGTGAACAGCAGAAAAGACATCTTGACTGGCTGCCTTTGCAAGAGGTATTTTAACTAGCTGGTTGGGCCAAACAGCATATGCATACTTCACAGCTAAACTGTTCCTGTCTCACTCATCAGAAAGGTGTTTGCTGCATACCTGTATATTAAACATATAAGTAGCACAGTAGTGGTGAGTGGGGTGGCTGGGGCTAGGAAAGTTGGCATGGATATGTTGACACTCCAGGAAGATTTCTAACTGTTAGGACAAAATTGAAGTCTTCCATGGACCATGCAGCCACTGAAAGGGGATTCCCCCAATGTAAATGCACTACACTTAAATATATAGTACTATTTTAGGACCAAGACACTAAGAATCAGCTTTACATATTCCCTATACTGCCAAATATCCCCGACTTAAGACATTAACCACGAATATCAGTCAAAACCAAGAGATTTACACTGTTACTCTTATTTATTACCCAAGCAGCAGCAGAAGTCAGTGTGTAAGATCATTCACAGAGCTGCAACGGCTCAATCAATAATGCTGCAGAACAAACCACAGAACATAAATTCCTAATAGAAACAACCAAATGCAATACACAAATACTGATACCAAGAGTTAACAGAGCTCTGCTCAGCATGAGCCTGAACAAGTCTGAAAATGGCTTTACATCGGTTTTACACTTCTGCCTGCTGGGGTACATTTGTCACTGAAAGCAAGTTCTCCTGATGTACAGCTCATCTAATTTGCAGTCACTGCTTGTAGCACCTTCTTCCACGCTCCTATGCCACACCACAATCATTCTGGGAGTTTATTATCCCTCAAGTATAGCGATTACTAGCTATGTCCAAATACTACAGTCACGTCACCTACAGCATGTATAGAAAGGCACAGAAAAGTTAAAATAACTTTTAACAATTATTACAGTGCAGTAATTCCCCAAGACAAAGCTAGGCCTTTCTCCATGCCAACATTTAACCATTTCAGCAGAAACAGTCCCTACAGGAAAAAACACTACTCAACAAAGTTTTTGTAATGCTATAACTGTCAGTTTTTAAAAGGCATACAGGTAAAGCTACCAAGATAGAGTTAAGATAATCTAAAAATTATTGTATCAGACAGAAGTACATCTGCCCCAAAGGGTGCAGCTTTAGGGTACCAGCTAAATATAAACTCTTCACACACACAGGCCATTGCAATTAGAAGAAGACAAAACTGTATCTTACCAAGACTGAACTCCAGCTTTGGCTCATTTGCAATTCTCTGAATACCTTTCAGGAAAAAAAAATAAAATATATATATATATATATATATATATCTCATAATTAGACTTCAGTGTTCAGCTTTTTAACACATAGTCAAACTTTCAAACGTCTAATTCATACTCTTATCTGCCACTGCCATGAGAATAACACTTCACGTTAACCAACTTACAGTGAAAGACACCTGTGCGTGAAATATTTGTTGGAAAAAAAAAAAAAATTCTGTTTTTGAAGAAGACATTTTTCTTTTTAATAGAAACTTTCTGTTGCTGGGAAAGAAAACCAAGAAAAAAAAAAAGACCCAACCTTTCATCCTTTCATAGTTGTACTTGACTAGTTTTGTACTTGTAAGATTTTTCTATCATAACAACTAACAATATATCTGATGAAAAAAAATTAAACCTAATTACTCATTCTTAAGTAGTGATGTCATTCCACTAAAAACAGACAAAAAACATTCTGTGGAAGTATGTAAATCAGGTTAATACAGTAGAATAAACCAGCTACATATATGTTGTAAAGCAACAAAACCAACTTCTTTTTGGTTTTGGAAAGTATCACACTAATTCCTCTTCTCATATACCAAGGGCAATAAGAATATTTCAATTCCCTTCATTGCAAAATTACATTCTAGTGCATATTTTAGTGCAAAGGCCAATATATTCTTACTGCACTGGAATAAAGGAGTGAACCACAGAGCAGCAACAAGAGTAATGTAGGAATGATAATTAAAAAACACAGTTGTTCACCCACTGCAGGAAGTAATTGCATCACAACTATGGTATCAATGAACCTTGTAGAAATTGAACTGTCTCCTGTTGACATTTACATGTTGTCTCCAGTGAGCATTACTGAGTATTTGCCGTTACTGAAGAAATTGGTCAGATGGGAAGGACCAAGTATATGAACTGGAATGCAAGATTTTTCTTAAAAAAAAAAAAAAAACAAAAAATTAAAAATTAAAAAAATCCACAAAAAACTCCAACCCACATTGTTCTCATTACTATAGCTAATCATTCAGGGCTGTGCAAGAAAAATTACAGCTGCAGAGCTTAAAAAGGCCTTGGTCAATAAGAGACAACATGATTTCATTTTATTTCATTTTATTTTTTTTTTATGAAATTATACCAAATTTCCAAGTTGAATTCTGCTACTAGCAGCATCAGCATATTGGTTTCAAACACCTTTATCAATATGCTGGATACGGACTTGACTAAGTAGCTGGGCAACTGAAATATAGTGCCCAGAGCTCTATATGATATCATAAATCCAGAGCACCAAAGATGACTCAACATATAGCTATGTACTTTCAAATCCCCAGCATGCTTTTATATCACAAAGAACAAATCTGCAATACTAATTCAAGCACCACTAAGGCTTTATAAACATTTATCAAAGTTATCAGGCTACATTTTAAACAGCAGTCCATATGCTTATATAGAACATAAAAGAGGAAAAGATTATTTCTAACTAAATAACATCTAAGTCTTATGAAGAAAACAGATTAGGGAGAGAAAGTCAGAAACACAGTGATCACACATTTGTTCCCCAAAGTTTATCTGTATAAATAAAAATACATCAGGTAATGACATTTAAAGATAATTTTCATTAGTTTACTGCCTCTACAATTGCACTTTGTCAAGCAACAAGTTAAAACATAATTATGCACCTTGTTAGTGAATGTACTTGTACTGATACAGACAGGACATTTTTAGTGTACCACTCAATAATACTCAATAAAACGAGTATTATGCACTTACTTGTAAAGCATGGCTCTCCTAGACTGTCTACTTGGGATGAGGGCACAAACTGTCGTGCTTCATCTGATGATCTCTCCTCTTTGATTTCCATGATCAACCTCCGGAGCTGTTGAATTTTATTCTGCAAACCTTCTGAGTTTGCCTCTCCCAGTGCCACAGCCCAGGATTCACAATCTGGCTTTGATGCAGCTTCAAGGTAAAGATCTGGTTCTCCGCTCTGAAACTCTGTGCTCAGAAAACATAAACACAATTTTTAGGATCATGAAAATACTGATGCCACACAATTAAAAGCATCACACACAGATTTCTTTTTATGGTCACAGAACCATGCACCCCAGCCACCCCTTGAATCAAACTCCCAGTTCTTTTGTACTCAGTGCTGTACTGAGTCTATCCCCAGAGTGGTTCCAAAAGCAATTAATATATTGCTAAACTAGGTGGCGGAATCAAACTGAAATAGGAAATGCTTTCTTAGCACAGATTCCGCAGGCTAGCAGCTCCTCTGTAAAGACTCAACAGGTTGTATGTGGGAGCTTCTGACCTCATTAATATCCACATGTTGTTTGCTGTTCTGCCTGAAGTCTAATTGTTTAATGATTAGATTTTCTAAAAGAAAATGAAGAAGGAGGGGAAAAAAGCAGAAGCTCCCAAGGAATCCAGGTAAGTAGCAAAGGTCAGTCATTTGATTAAGATTAGAACAAGAAATAAAAACACCTCTTAGGCATTTCAAATTCTGCAATGTAGATGGCTTCACAGAGGCACAAATTCAATGTGACATTTAGTGCAACAAGCACTGAGAAAAATAAACTGGGGGGGGGGGGGGGGGGGGAAATCACTGCTTCTTTAAAACAAGTTGCCAAGTGATTTAGAAACTTAAAACCCTACAAAACACCTGTGCTACTGTATTAATCGGGACTGAAGTATTTGTTTGGACATCAGAATCATTTTGACTCAAATAAGCCATTGATCACATTAGTGGATGAAACAGTACACTTAAATGTTTTCATACTTAGCCTGAAAATCCAAACAACATAGAAAAGTTTTTTCAGCACAAAGTAAGCTTAAATTCCCTTTTACTAGCTTGAGTATCTCACCTTGGGCACTTACCCACATGCTATTCTAAACCCATCTGCACTTCATAAACTGAGCATCTGCCACTTATAATTTACTCTGCTTTTATTGTTGTGGGGGGAACAAAAGACGCAAACCTGAAGTCTGGAAGCCTCTTGAACTGTACCAGCAAAAATGCCTGTAGAGGCAAGACAAGTTTTTTTGTCTGGGGGTGTATCTAAGGAAATCTGTGTGAATGCAGCTGCTGCTAAAAATGCTGGATAAGACTTCACATACCAGTCAGACTACAGAATTCGTAAGGAAAGACTGGAAAGAAGAGCAGGAAGCAAGGGAACATCTTTCTGGATTCACAGGCAATTTAAGCAGTGCTAATAATGATTCAAACTCTTGCCTCAGCCCTCAGTCATAAAACAAGGTATTCAGTTCTTGAGACAAGAATATTCAAAACCATAGAGAGCTGCATATGTTCATCAGATCCTTGTTTACATACAAAATACCTACTTGAATGATCAAACCTAAAGCTGTGTTTTATTGTTTGTCAAAAATGGTTTTAGAGACATGGAAGTTTCAGCTGTAAGCTCTGCTACTGCATTGAGCCACAAGGGCAGTAACCTTCAAAAAGACTGGAAATTAGAAGAGGCGATAACTTTTCTGATGCTCTGGTAAGATCTGCAACAGCACAATGGTCTACTTTCTTCTGTCACTGACCTCAGTAATTCAGAAGTTCATTTTTATTTCATAATATTTTGGAGCTGCCAGTGGAAAAAGGACAGGAAAAAAGAGGCACGTAGTTAACCAGCATCAAGACCGAAATTAATAAGCAGTGATTCTACTTAAAAAAAATCAGATCTTCTAGGCATGCAAAGCACCTGCTTACACCATTCAGCCTTTAAAAGAACAACTTTAATAAAAGCAGTCTGAAAATCCAAGATACTTTAGCTGAGGAAAAACTGCAGAGAAACAAGCCAACACTTAGCATCCAAAATAAGAATATACCAAGGTGTTCTTTTCTTTCTGTTCTTTATTTTTAAATGCAAATAGGAACAGTGATCTTGTCTTGAAACATCCTAGCACTAGCTAGATAAAAAAACATCTGCTTTGGGAGGAAATCAATGTTTTGCAATTGAAATCATGCTATTTATATTTACTTCTCAGCTGTGGAAATCAGACTGCCAAGCACAAAAAGCATACTGAATCACCCTTAATATGCATGGAACCAGAAATGGATAGTGAAATGCAGTACAAGTGGGCATAATTCACTGTATTCTGATCTAACAGGTGCCAGTTTTGCTATCTGGAAATTCATTCTAAACTATCACTTCAAAACACTACAGTCTGCTATATTTAGATCTTTGGAGTACTCTGACAGCTAGGTTAAATTCTGAAAAGCATATTAAAATACCTGAAAATATTCATCACTGCAAATGTAGAAAGTTTTATTCTGCAGATCCAGCAGTTGGCAAGTTACATATTTCCCCCACTGTTTCAATGCATGTAATGTTTACAGACAACAAGTTCACATACTGGAACACACATAAGCAATGTCCAAAATGCACATTGGCAAACACGTCTGTTGCAATAAAGGAGCAACAGATTTATTTATATAATAAAGATCATCAGCTCTTTTTTCTCCCAGACTATGGGGACTGTTATTTTAAATCAGCTGAATACAAGAAACCCTAACAAGCTCAGAAAAAACTTAGCTGAAATGAGTCTGAAATGAACAGACCCACAAATGTAATGAAGGCCTTGAATGAGTGGTAGACATATCAGCAGAATTATATTTGTATTGCGTCCTAAACGCAGGAGTATTTCATGAGTGGACCAAAGCACTTTATGCTTTACAATGAAGTAGTTACCGTACATGAGCATCCTTTGTTATGCCGTCACTGCAACATGAGTTACCATGAGTTAATTCTGGAAAAAAATCCTGACCTTTTCAGAATATTTACTACTGATTTCAACAAGACCAGTTCTTTATCTGGTAAACATTCCTAGTTTTATTGTTATAATTTCTAGGCAAGATCTAGGAATATACAACAGTAAGATAATTTTCTATCTATTTGGGAATCTGCAATAGTAGAACAGTAATTTTCATCTTACTGCTGCAAAACATTGCTAGTAGGCATTCAAGTTCGATGGAATAAACCCACGGAAGACATTCATGCAGTTAAACACAATGGCTTTCATTGCAAAATAAACATTCAACTTACTAACCCTAAATTCAGTAGGAAACGGTATGTAATTCTATCTTCACCTCTTTTTCTTCTTGAACTGAAGGTGGTCTACATAGCTACAAGAAGCAACCGAAGACCTTTTGATAGCTTGCATAAACTCAAAAAACAGAAATAAAGGGAAAGATTCTGAGGCCAGACACTGGGACACTGATGTAAACAAGAGTTGCCTGAAAGTGTCTGTCCCAGCAATAGATTTGTATATATCTAACTGAATTCATTACCTATTTAAATCAACATTTTACAAAGCTTTGTCCTCAGCTTTTCCAAGATCTCTCATTTGTTTCCTGGAAGCTAGGAGAGTGCTTAAAAGCAAGAGTACTGCTACTATACTATTTACATTAATATAAGAGCAAATCTAAAAATGTGTAAAGTCAGATGTATTTATATTTGCCATTAAACACTACTCCGCAATTACAATAAATTGCCAACTATAAAATATTTCTTCTCATTTCTCTACACTGTTAGTTCAGTTTTGATCTGTCTGGCTGAAAATAAATTAATGGTCACAGCTACTAGCCACAGGAGAGGAGGAGGGGAGAGAAAAGGCCATATATTACTAACTTTAATGCATGAAATGGTCTCTAAATGTGAGCACTGACACTTGGATAACACAACTGACACTTGGATAAAGCTGCAAAAGCAAGCTAACACTGAGGGATCATTGATGACATTTGTGGGAACAAATTCTGTACCACAGCATTCTGTGTTTGCTCTACAACAGGTGTGTTCCAGTATCTGAAGGGGGCCTACAAGGATGCTGGGGAGGGACTCTTCATTAGGGACTGTGGTGATAGGACAAGGGGTAATGGGTTAAAACTTAAATAGGGGAAGTTTAGATTGGATGTAAGGAAGAAGTTCTTTACTGTAAGGGTGGTGAGGCACTGGAATGGGTTGCCCAGGGAACTTGTGAATACTCCGTCCCTGGTGGTGTTCAAGGCCAGGCTGGACAGAGCCTTGGGTGACATGGTTTATAGTGCGAGGTGTCCCTGCCCATGGCAGAGGGGATCGAACTAGATGATCTTAAGGTCTTTTCCAACCTTAACTATTCTGTGATTCTATGACACACACAAGCAAAAAGTAATTCTCAGATGTTACCTCAGCAGTGGAAAATGGTTGAGAATATCAATGAGCCACTGCCACTCAAAAATATAAAGCACCATCACAGCTAACCACCATATGCTGTAACAAAAGTAGAACAGAAGCTTTGATACGTAAATTATGTCCACAGGATATTTCTAATACAGACATCAGAAGCTTTTAATTCACAAAGCTGACTGAATCCTATATGCTGATGTATTTCATCTTCAAATTAGTAGTGACGAAATCATCCTGTGGTTACTCATGGTGCCAAGTTAATCTTGCTTTGGAAGTTAAATTTCAATCAAAGATAAAAAATTTAATTAAGAATCTTATCTTCAGCGTTGTTTTTTATATTTTGCAATGCTGGAATAAAGTTAAATAGAGATTGCAATGGTAACCTATATAAGTCCCCACAGAAGCCTGAGGTATTTGAAATTAATATAGTGTGATATCCCAGGATGACTACTGCAGTACAAAACTTTGTTTCTTTTAATACCTGGAGGCTTTCATACATGCCACATTGCTCCTTCCCTTTCATTAAGTAACTACCACACCTATACTAGAAGCAAGGCAGACCACACAAATATTTACATACCACAATGGTATCTCAAGATCACTGAGCAGAAGTACCACAGCACTCATTTTACGTACTGAGGCCTTCGCAAAACTGTAGACTGCTTTTGCTGAGAGGAAGTAGATCGCATGACTGGCTGGACCATCAGTCCCCCTTAAAAAAAGCAGCATTCACAGATCTTGATTCTATGTCTGGGTCTGCAAGAGTAATCCTAGCATATGCCTCACTTACTCTATAGCTAAAATGGAGTGATACTGATCTGC